GAATTTTCAGCTATGTCCCTTAAGATTAGCCAACATGCTTTTCTGATAAGTGCTGGGAAATATAAATCAGTTGAGGAAGTTCTGCAAAATGTGTCAGAAGACAATTTCCTGATTAAAAAAAAAAAAAAAAGTGAAAAAGCACCAGGGGTGGACAGTTCCATTTCTAATGCCTAACAAGGAAGAAATCACTGCAAGCCTGAGACTTTCGGGCTACTTGGATTGGGTGGCTGAAGGGAACTTACGCAGGTTTCCATCCAAGTTACACAAACTTGGAGGAAGCAGATTACTCATGGAATGGCCTGAGCCATGCATGTGAGATGGATGCAAAACACTCAGGTTTTTATGCATCTCCAACAGGGTTTGAGCAAATCAGAGCTGCTCCCCCCCAGCCCCCAGAGTGAAATCAGTGCCAGAACCATGTTGTTCAGCAACCAAGTTGGGACCGTCTGCAACTCATTCCCAAATCCTCAGCTTCACTCAGGAGCATTTTCTCCAGTGATAAGGCTCCATCAGGAAACACAGCTGGATGGAGGAAGGAAATTCTGAGAAGCAAAAAAAAATAGTGGGGGTTCCAGGAAGTTCAACCAGATAGGAACTAATGGAATTTGTTTTTCTGTCTCCCCAGCTCCCAGTGTTCCTAAGCAAGTGAGAAAATCACGGGGAAAAGTGGTGGCAAAAAACAAGTCTGGCAGATCTTAGCCTGCAAAACAGGTCCTCACTGCAGGTCTCCAGAGAGCATCATAATTACAATTCAATATTTTCGATCACTTGCTCTCCCTGGGAAAAACTGCAGACGTTTTCAATTTAGGTCCACTCTGAAGCCCAGCCATTGTTTTCTTCCCCACCTCATTTTTTTGACTTGTATTTTTTTTTTTTTGTTTTAAACAAAGGTCCCTGTGTAGTTTATTAAGGAGGTTTGAGTTGGACACATGATTTATCAAAAATAATTTTTAAAAAAAGGACTGTTATGTTGAACATTCAGGAGAATTAAAGGTTGCAATTGCCTCTGATTAGTAACACATATCCCAGGACCATCAAAACAACAGTATTGTAGTTTTATTACTTCTAGAGAAACTCCTTTTGACCTCAGGGGCAAACAGCATTTCCTTCCACATCCTTTGCCATTCCCCTCTTTTGCAATTTTTACAGTCCTCTGGCCAACTCCCTCTTCCTTTGATAAGGCAGATAATCCAAGTTTCAGCATTCCCCACTTACTGCTGCAGAGCTGGTGTGGAACCAGAGAAAGGATCCATTACCAGACCAATCCTTGGCCACTGAGACAGATAAAAAGGGAGTCTGAGATCAGCCCCACAGTTCACAGAGCTCAGATTGCACAGTCAGGATCACAGAATGATTGCTAATGACCACACTGGAAAAGAGTGGGCAGCACTGACTGGAACAGTGACACATCTGATTTGTTGAGACCCTGCTCATCACTGCAGCAGTTCAGGGGTGACAGATTTTTGACAAGACTTTCTTCAGAAGAGCCAGGATTATCCTACTGGTCCAGAGACTATCACTGAGCCTTGAGTTCTCCCACTAATTCCCCTTGGAGCATAAGCCCAGATGGAATTCCCTGTGTTTTTCTTTTTTCTTCTCTTTTCCTAACCTCTAAAGGCAGTTTGGTGTGACACCAGCCAACCAGCCAAACCTAGTGCAACAGTGGGGAGGTTTAGATTGGATTTAGGAAAAATTTCTTCATGGAAAAGGTTTGTCTAGCACTGGAACAGGCTGCTCAGGGAAGTGGAGGAGTCACCATCCCTGGAGGTGTTCAAGAAATGTGGCTATAGTACATGGCTAAGTGGTGAACAGGCTTGGAATTGAGGACTGTATAAGTCTTTTCCAGCCTTAACAATTCCATGATTCCATGATCTCCTCTGCCCCTTAGGTGACCTCTTTTATCCACCCCCTGAAATTTTGTCATGGGCTTAAACTGGAGGCTTTAGGGAAGGCTGATAATCAAAAGTTTGGACAAACTCCTGAAGAAATTGCCATAGCTGACCCTGCTGTGAGCAGGTGACTCCTCTGGAGACCTCCAGTCTCAGCAATTCTGTGATTCTGTGAAAAGCAGTTCCTACATCTTCCCATGGAGTTACACCCAAGTTTTTCTGATCCCAGACTGAAACAAATAGAAATAAGGGAAAAAGAACCAAGCTGAAAATCTCTGTCAAAAGATCAGGAGTGGAATGGTAGCTCTGTGGGGGTCATTCAGTGCACATCAAGTGTGCTGAATGCTTCTCAAACTGCATCTCTGAGGACAGAGGAGGGAGATGGTACCTCAGAAAGAGCCTCAGAGACAGGACTTGAAGGTATAAAATCATGGAATGGGTTGGGTAGGGCTGGGTTGGGTTGGAAGGGACCTTGGAGATCATCCAGATCCACCCTCTGCCATGGGTGGGGACACCTCCCACTGTCCCAGGCTGCTCCAAGCCCCATCCAGCCTGGCCTTGGACACTTCCAAGGATGCAGGGGCAGCCACAGCTTCTCTGAGCAACCTGTGCCAGGGCCTCCCCACCCTCACAGGGAAGAATTTCCCCCCAATATCCCATCCAACTCTGTCTTCTGTAAGTTTGAAGCCATTCCCTGCAGGTCCTTGTAAATGGTCTCTCTCCATCTTTCTTTCCTTTCAGGTACTGGAGGGCCACAATTAGGTCACCTCAAAGCTTCTCTTCTCCAGGCTGAACAATCCCAGTTCTCTCAGCCTTTCCCACAGCAGAGCTGCTCCATCCCTCTGATCATCCTGGTGCCTCCTCCGGACTCGCTCCAGCAGCTCCAGGGGTTTCTGGGCTGGGTCATGTCCTGCTCTCACCCACCAGCACCCCCAAGTTCTTCTCCCAGGGCTGCTCCATCCTTTCATCCCCAGACTGGACTGATCCAAGGGGTCGCCCTGATCCAGATGCAGCACCAGCACTTGGTCTTTTTAAATCCATGAGATTCCTGTGGCCACTGCTCCAGCTTTTCCAGGATCCACAGGATTACTTCCATGTATCATCTCCATTGCACCCACAGCTGGGAACCTGCAATCAGATTCATGGATAGGAGCAGCTCTGGCTCCTCTGGAAGCATGGAAATCCTTATCCTGTCACCAGGGAAAGCAGCCCAGGGTTGTAGGAGCTGAAATTTGAAGGGAACTGGGGCCTACTACAACCTGCAGGAAAACCCAGGGCTCTGCTGGGCAGCAGGGCCCTTCCTACCTCATCTCCATGTAGGAACAACTCAGTTCCAGGAGAATGGCAGCACCTTCCTGCTCCTGCAGGGAGCTCTGTGCCACAGCAGAGCTCAGGGATTTCAAACCAGAAGGCAAACCCAGAGAATTCCTGCAAAGCCTCACAGGGCACTTCTCTTTGTGCCACCTTAAGGAGCAGGCTCCAGGACATGATGGAAAGGGATCAGAAGAGTTCATGGGTGCAGTGCAATGAAACTGCTCAGAGCTGGAGGGCCTGAGCAATGCACTTCTGTTCTGTGCAAACTTCACAGATCTCTGATCCATGAAGAGAAGGAGAAGGGGGAGCTGGGGGAAGCAATTGTGCTGCCTCTGGCTTCCTCCCCCTGTGGCTGCTCAGCAGCAGCCAGAAGACAACAATGCAGCTCCAAATTCTGTGCCCTCCTGCCTGGATTTGCATGAGGAAATTTGGGTGCTTAGGAGGGAACAGTCTGTGACTTTTCTGCCAGAATGTTGAACCATTTCAGGAAATCTGCACAGCAGCCATCAGCCAACCACTGCATCTGTCAAGGGATTGGCAAAAACATGCACAAACTTAGACACCCTTCATAAAATCCGTGTGATTTGCAGTGTTTATCCACAAAAGAGCAAATGATCTGCAGGAAAAAGTCCCAGAAGAAGCAACTTTCCAACTCTGAATTTCAAAAGATGTAGAACATAGAGAGAAAACAATACCAACTACTTGAGACAACTCATGAGTGGGCAAAATCTGCTCCCTCAACCCCAGCAGTGCTGAGCAGATTTAAATCCCAGTTTGTCCCTTTAAATCCCAGTTTGTCCCTTTAAATCCCAGTTTTGCCTCCCATTGATCTGAAGCAAGGGAGCCAAGGAGAAGATCCAGGGTGTATTTATGTGATCAGAACCAACAGGGCTCCCTGGTACAAGTTTACCCACAGGATGTGAGAGCTCCAACAGCTCTCACAGACAAGTTCCCAAATCCTTATTTCAGCTCCCAGTGACCTGCAGTGAAGCTCCATAACAACTTCCAAGAGCACAAGGAGCAAGGTGTCACACACTACAGGGTGTGTATTCTGTACTCCAGAAATTTCCACTCCAAGCCCCATCTTCCCCTTAAAACCAGAGATTTCCAAGAACTTGGAACCAACTGGGCAATTCCTGCAATATATTCATTTGTGCTTTTCCAGGTGTTATTTTTTCCTAAGAATTTTTCTGGAATTATGTTGGTCATGTCACAGTTATTTTATCCACTGATAGAGCTGGTCTGTGCTCTGCAAATGCAAATGCTAATTGACACATAAATAAAATAAAAACTGGTCCAAACCTGGATCTCATTACCTAAAGTCAGGGGAAAGGTCTTCTCATCAAATATTTATCACTGTTCAGGCCACCTCTGAATCTTTTGCAGCTCCTCAGCCTTTCCCAATTTTTGTGAAAAAAAGGGCAGTTTGTGGAGATTGCACAGTTGCTACTGAATGCCCAATTTTATTTTGGATATTCATGGATCTTTCACAGAATCATTTAGGTGGGAAAACACCTCTGAGAGCATCAAGTCCAACCTTTGACCTTTCAGGTCAAGCAAAATTCTTCTTTGTGATGTACATTTCCTACTAAAAAATTAAAATACTGGAGTTCTCCATCTCCATAGAAGTTACATCATGATAATCCATAAAAACAGGGATTAAATTTACTCTTATTTCCTCAGAATTCAAGCACAGCACTTCAAGTAGAAAAAACAAATTGGCAGAAGACATTTGGACATTTTGTTATAAGGGATAATAAACAAGGAAATAAGAGAAAGGAGAAGATTCTTGTTTACCTGGGTCTTGGCACTCTTCTGCCTTCTCCCAAAAATGCAGGACAGGTCCTGTTCAGTGCGTGATGAGAGATCCTTACCTGGAAGGGGGAAAGAGAGGGAAAAACCCCCAAAACCTTCACATCTGAGGATGCATTTTGGTAACAGTGTGACCAACAGACAGAGAGGAACTGCTCTTGGACATAAACAAAAATCAGGAAGTCCAGGTTGGATGGACCTTGGAGTAACTGGGATAGTGGAAGGCGCCCCTGCCATGGCAGGGGGTTGGAATTAGATGAATTGTAAGGTCCCTTCAAACCCAAACCATGCTGTGGTTCTATGCTAAGGCCACTAAATGAAGGTACACAAGAGGAAATGTGTATATGCATTGGGATCTTTGGGTTCTTACGAGGATTCCCCATTTCTGACAGAATTAGGGAGTTACAGCTCCTCCACACAGTTAAAAAAAAAAAAAATCCATTTTTACTCAGTGGGGACTTTTCTCTGATTTCTGATGTTGCTCCTGAAAAGCAAAACCTCCACCTCTGCCACCCACTGGGTCATTCCAACTCAAAAGTATTTCAAGGGTGAAGCAAAGATTTCCAGGAGGGCCATTATTGCCATCTGATTGTTGTGTGGTGAGCTGGATATCAGACATGGAGCAAGGAGAGGGTGATGTGATTGAGAGATACAGGCAAAGGTTTAGCCAATTCCACAGTGCAGGAGTTGTTGAGCTGTCCACTGACTCTGTCAAAAAATTATTTGGGAAAAGATCAGCAAAAGTTAAAGAAACAAAATTAACCCAGACAGGTCAACTTGTTAAGACTCTGCTGGGATCTGAATCACTTGAAAATCAGTGACCTCAAAATGAATCTTGTAATGGCCAAAAAGACCCAAAACAAAACAAAACAAAAAAATCCCAAATCTGACTTCTTCTTTTTCCTGGGATCCTTAACTGTCCCTGGAGGGTAAAGAGACACATCAGCCTAGAGGGGGAAGTGTTCCCCAGCTTCCTGCTGCCTCACTGCACCGCCTCAAAATGGCCTTGTCCAAGCAAGCTGGAAGAGACTGGGGTTGTTCTCAGCTTTCTCTTGGCCAAGGCTTGAAATGTGACACCTAAAATCCTCCTGCTCCCATTTTCAGGCTCCGCTTCCTTTCTGTGCCTCCCCTTGAACATATCCCCCATTTTTCCTTTAACAGAAAACCAGCTCAGCTGACAGCCCCAGTCTCCTGCAGCATCACAGGGGAGGAGCTACTAGAAAAGCAGCTGATTTAATCTGAGCTTGGGGTGCATTTCCCAGATCCTGGGGAGGCTGTTCCTCCAGCAGAGAGGCTCCAAACCAACCCCGGGAGCGGAAGCCGCGTTTGGTGCCGTCGCTGTTCCCTTCTCCCCCTTTTGTGTGAGCTTGTCTTGTTTAGTCTGAAAGGAAGCAGGACTGGACTTCAACAACAAGGGCCATGACAACACGAGCCTTTCTCAAATAACTTTTCCTCTTTCCCTGAAAAAGGACAATTTCCCTGGGTCAGGCCACAGAAGGTACAAGCAAATGAGGGGCTGCCTTGTGGAAATGTGACCAAACAAATCAGGGATATTGTGAATATGAAAGCCTTGAGCTGTATTTTACATGCTCAAAAGGCATTTCTTTTTTTCCTCTATATTTAGTAAAAGGTTAAATCCAAATCAAAATAAATCCTCTTTGCTCAAACAGGCCATGGCCTCTGTACTTGCAAGCCCTGAACCAATTTAATTGTTTAATGTCATAAAGTGGCAGGCTCATGTTAACAGCTTGGACTTCAACGTCGAATTATTTCACCAAAAATCCCAAACCCTGATATGAAAATCTGGCCTCCATTCAGGTATCAATTAGCTCTGTTTTAGCAGAGGCATTTGCTGTCAGAAAACATTACACAGAGCTTTCAGTTTAATAAATCAGCCATTAGTGGAAACCGATCCTATCCATGCTCTGAAATGGGCACACACCGTGTGAAAGGGGAACAGAGCAAAAGGGAAAGGACTCAACAACTGTCAAGGGCCAGAACCTGGCCTGACTGAAATAATCTCATCACTCTAAGGAAGAAATAAATTATTAAACTCTACAAAATCTTGACAGTTTTTCTGGCTGCCCTAATTTATCCCATGAAGTACCTGGTCGATGTAAGAGGGCTTTCCTCTTCCTTCATGCAGGTTTAATCTGATCCCTGATCTCATCCACATGATCTCTGAGCAGGGGATTGCAGGGGTTAGTGCCACACAGATGCCCAAGTCACTCCCATCTCACCTTTGCCTTCTGCTCCCATCCCTGCCCACTTGGAATATCTGCTGCTCCTTTATTCAGTTCCTTCACTAGGGAATTGTTTTATTCCCAACATCAGCAGCCTAAGGCTACCCAAAATTGCCCAAAATAAAGAGGAACAGCAACATTAGAGCTTTAAGCAAGTAGCTGCAGGGGGTGTTTCTAAACCCAGGTTTTACTTGCCAAATTTAGACTCCACAAGGCAACAGATCACCTTGAGCAGGGTTTGTTCTAATCTTGGCCAGGGCTTATGAAACAACAAAACTCCTCTCACCTTTAGCAAACTTCATATAATGGACACGTTTCTTGGAAGATTTGGATTTTTCTTCGAGGCTGAATGTCTTTTTCTGCTTTTTCACTGAGGACTCTAAAAAAACAAACCCCAAGCAAACAGGGTCCAGTTCTGTTAGAGGCACTTAAGCACCAAATTCAAACATCAGTGTAATTAACTTTCTCACAGAATAATGAGGTTGGAAGAGACCTCTAAGATCATCAAGTCCAACCTATGCCCTCTCTCAAAATACAGTCAACAACATATCATAAAGTATTACTGAAGAAAGCACTCTAAGTTTTGTCTGAAATATGTCAATGCTTGATTTTTTTTTTTGCCCCATCCCCTTTCTTTCCCATTTCCAATCCAATGTAATTTGAAAAGGCAGATACAGGTACTCCAGGTCAAAGGCAAATCCATCTCTGTGGTATGAAAATAATAATAGTGCTGTTTTTCATAGAGTATCTCCAGCACCAGAGTCTGAGAAAGATGCAAGAAATAGTAGGAAATAAAATACTGATTGAGCAGAAAGAAAAAGGGGGGAACCACCCCCACAACAGGATTTTCATTTCTAACCCTACACAAAATACCTTTATTTGGACATAAGCTGATACATCTGTGTAAGGAAACTGAATGGTGACAAAGCTTTTCTGTCCCTAAGGCCAGCTAGGACAAATTGCCACATCCCTATTATCTCATTTTCCAGGCTTCCAGAGGAGGGACTGCATCTAAACTGTCCTCTGGGAATGGTTTCTGGGGCTGGCTCAGTCCCAGAGTCACTCAGCAGTACTTTGGGAGACTGTGAGCAGGTTAAGGCCATGTGAAGGATTAAGCTCTCTCTTTAACAGCACAGAGATCACGTTCCTCTGCTGTGGCAGGTTATTTTGGGGGTACAAATGTTCTCTTTGCAACCACAGAACCTGTTAATTTACAAAACATTGCCAGAAAGAGAGAACTAACCTGTTGTACAGTTAATTACTGCCTTACTAGTCCTGAAAAGGGGCACCACAGGAGTCTCTGCTCTGTGACTCCACAGAGGGTTACTATGGTGAGGTGTTTTTTTCCAGCCTGTGGGATGGGTAGGGAAATCAACCCATACCCTGAGGGCCAAGTTGAGTCACCTTTTTCACATGATCCTACCCTGGAAAGCTCTGCTGCCCAAGCTTTTCTGACACTGGAACTCCAGCACTTCCCTGTTTGAAAGGCAGTGCCACCTGATGAATCCCTAAGCTAAAACTGAAATCCCCAGCCTGCAGTGGGAGAGCTGAGGGCCAGCAGGCTGAATCCCACTCTCCACACTAATGGGAAGAGAAAGGACCAGCAAATCCAGTTTTTAACAAAAAAATCCTCAATAAAAAGGGTCTGTGGGAAAAGCAAGGATCACAGCTAAAATATCCTGACAGCCAGGCAGCACATTGAGCCTGGTTTCCAATCTCCTGGTAGCAAAAGGAGCATTACACAGCAAAAGGTTTCCACAGAGCCTTCCTCCTCCACGTTATTCCTACAGGGAAAGGGGCAGCAGCACCGCCTTGTGCCTGCAGGGAGGAATTTCACTACTGAACGTGCTGGCACTTGCAGTGGGCAGGGAAATACATCCCCGTGTCTTCCAGGGACTGGAAAATCCTCTGACAAACTGAGCAAGTGCTGCAGGAGTATTAATGTGCTTTTTAAAGCAATTTAGTCGGGGCAATAAAGCCACCAAAATGGCATTTTTGCAGCAAATGTGATCGAGGTGGATGTGCCAAAGCACTGCAGGGTGCTGTTCCCACTTTTTATCCATGGGAAAGGGACAGTCACCATCACTGAGGATCTCAGCAAAAGAACCAGGAATTATAGAATGGTTTGGGTGGGAAAAGACCATGGAGTCCCAACTCCCTTCCCCTATCCCAGGTTGCTCCAAGCCCTGTCCTTTGACACTTCCAGGGATCCACAACTTCTCTGGGCAACCTGTGGTAGGGCCTCACCACCAGCAGATGAATTTCTTCCTAATATTTAACCTAATCTAAACCTGCCCTCACTCAGTACCTAGCTAGGGAAAAAAAAAAAAAAAAAAAGGAAAAGACAGCTAAAGCTACAGACACTGAGGGTATCTGAATGTTGGTATCAACCCCTACAGGGCCTTTCTTTTCCAACCTCTAATTGCAATCCAGCTCTGGCAACTGCACCGGTTCTTTAAGAACAATGAAGTTTTTCAGCTGACTTTTAATGCAGTTTGAAACTGGAGGGTGGCCAATAATGTTACATTTGCTCCTGCAGCACAGCTGCAGGCAGAGTCTTTTCCTGGATGAGTTTTGCCAGCTTCAACAATTGCCAAAAAAACAAGTTTCAGAGTGATGCCTTTCTGTAAATCACCAAATGTGACTCTGACCTGGAATTTCCAAGGTGCACCCAAATTTGTTCTCAGTGATTGAAAAACTGTCCTGCCTCCTAAAAGGACCAAAAGAACTGAGTGAAAGAGGGAGAAATTAGAGTTCTCAAGGGTCACTTTGCATGAGGTGACCCAGGGAAGAGAGCAGAGCTTAGGGCCAAGCCTTGCTCCCTGAGTCTGCCTCTGCTGACTCACTGTGGCCCTGGGCAAGTCATTTTGGCTCTCTGCTCATCTGCAGGTTTCCCACCAGTTACACCTCCCTGATCTTCCTAGGGCTCAAGTTGCAACTTGGGCAGGATTTAGTTCTCCAGGGAGACAGGAACTTGTGGAATTTCCCCATGAAATGCTCTCCTACCTCTCCAGGAGCTGAGTGACACCACTGAGTCCTGGGTGGCCTCATGATTTCACAAGGACAGCTTGCACAGCAAGTTAAAGAATATGTTTTGAGGCATCAGGCTCAAAATTTTAATCCTATTACTCCAGGATTAGAAAACTTCCTTGCTAACTGGTTTTCCTCCTCTTCTTTCTACATTTTCTCTCCTAGAAAAGTCAGTGCTCAAAGGTTAAGAATGAATGAATGAAGAGTTGCTAAATTCACTAATCTGGCAATTCTGCCCCAGCAGCACAAGGGCAAGCTGTGTCCAAACAGGAGCCCTTGGTTAAACAATACTCCAGAGAGGTGTTCAGACACAAAACCAGAGTTTAAACTGCATTTAACTAAAGGAGAGATGATAAATCACTTGATAAACCAATTCTTTCTCTAAGCTCACACCCACCACAACTTCCTAACTTCATTTTCACAAAGCAAGGTCAGTTTGTAAGAAGCTTTTCAAAAATAGAAGACTTTAAAAATAGCCCTTTCGGGAAAGTTTCCCCACTTGTGTGCTCAACACTAGGGCTACAAAAATCACTTAATGCTGCACTCAAAGCAGAGATGTAGAACTCTGAGGCAAAAGCTACAGAGCAGCTCTCCAAGGACAGGAAAAGGAGGTATTTAAGAAGCCACTGGAGCATGGAAGCAAAGTGTGACAGTTCATCAACAAAAGGAAGGCAAAGCATTGCAGTGCTGAGAGATTGTTGTGAGCCCTCAGGTTCTGGGTGCTTTATAAAGAAGGAAATGTTCCTCTAGGAACAGGCCAGGGAAAGCATCCCAAATATTGTGATCCTGGATGAAATAAACAGGTTAAACATTTTATGTTTTCTTTCCTCAAGAAAAAACCTTTCTTTGAGTACTGAGAGCAAAACTGATCCACTGAGATCCACAAATCCATGCTCATGGATGGCAACACATCCTTTGGCTCCCAGTGATTTTGGTGAATGAGTTCTCAATCTTATCCAAAATATTATTTGCATCACAAACTGGGCCTCAGGAACTTTTTTAAGAGACAGAATAGAAACTCTGCTGAGCTTCCAGCATCTGATTGAGCCAAGCATGAACCTACCTGTTTCACCCTGTCCATGGCAGTTATTCAGCTCAGCCAGAAGCTGGTTGAAGTCATCCTGATGAGCAATCCAGTTGTCCTGTAAATATCACCCACATGAATACAAGGCAGAAGTCTTCAGAATTAACACAAGTTTTACAAAACAGATATTAAGACTCTTAGAACTAAATTATTGGATATATCCAATCCTTGCTGGTGGGAGGGACCCCACAGGTGGTAACAGCAACCACAGCTCCTACAGCCACCCCAAAGTGAAATGAAATTAAAAGGGTTGTCTTGGAAATCCTAAACAATCCTGTTTGGTACACGCTACCACCAGCTGTGACCACAGGTTTCTCTAATATTCCATTCAAATAATTGTGCTTTTGCTGAAATGGGATCCTTTCCCTGCCCTGGGTCTAGTGCTCACCTCATGATTGATGGTAGCTCCCAATCCCAGCACGTCGTTTTTCACCTTAACCCTGATGTGTTCTGGATTTCCTTGCTCCTGTGCCCCGAGACCCTAAGGAGGATTTGAGGGTACAAATGTAAGGATTTCACAGCAGCAATTAGAGCTTTTGGACTGTGAGACAGTTCACAAGGAAATACAGCAAAAAACTAACAACTTCCTGTTAATATGCCTGCTTTTAGCTGAATTCATTCACAGGCATTACCATACAACACACAAAGTTTTTTTAAATTTACTACTTAAGCCTCCAGCAAAGCATTATAAACACTAAAATAGCAACAACATTAAGTAGTTGGGTGATTAATCAGGAAGCCACCTGACATTCCTAAGCCAGCACAAATTGTTTACAGTTTTCAAACAAGACTCTACATAAGAAGAATGTGCCTCACCCCAAAAATGTCTCTGTCACTGGGAAGGGAAAAGGGAATGAGGCAGACCCACACAGAACACACAATCCAAACCAAATTTACATGGAAGGAGGGCAGGGAGGGGCAGGGGAGAGGCAGACTGGAGCCAGTAGGGCATTCACAACTCCTTCCACCTCAGAAGTGGATGAAAATATTGGAGCAAACAACTTTGGGGTTGTTTACTATGAAGCAATATTCAGGTCCAGGGTTATCTTTCTCAACTCTATGGTCAAGGCTAAAAAATTAAAAGGCAAAGCTGTGGGTTTAAAACTTTGTTCCTGGTATTTACCTGCAATTTGCCTCATCTGTCACAAATCATCACCAAATGTGTTAGAATTAATAAACATTTATATGGTGCTGCAGTGGAGAGAAGCCCAGCAGACACATCCTGGGATATGGAAGATTTGAAGGGATGAGACCTATTTGGAAAATGCTGTTGCTGTTACAAACAAAGAAGAGTTTATTTGGTCAATGGGGTGGAAAATTTGCCTTGAAACTTCTGCTGACCAAAAAGTATGGAAGCAAGCAGGACACTTGGTCACACATCCTTCCCCGACCCAATTCCCCATTTACAGGATTGGTGCTAAGCAGCCTAATTTCACTGCTCATATGGGCTTTTGCCCCTTAATTGGACCAAGAGAAAGTTCCATTTGTTCAAGTTTGGAATAGAATGGAGACATAAATCCTTCTTGTACAACTGTTGGCCAGGAAGATCCAGTATCTCAAGTGGGAAATGTTGTGAGACAACTGAAGCAACAGTTTAAATCCAAAAATAGGTTTTAAGGCATTTACAGAATTGAGAGTGATCCTAATTTTTTGCCTTTTAAGGAAAGCCTGGAAGAGGAAATCTAGAAAAATAATTAAAGGTAAGGTAGTAAAGGTAGTAAAGGTAGTGGGGATTTTGTGGGGATTCTTGTTACTAAACACCCTGATGTGCAGCTGCAAATTTCAGCTTTGCTGAGGCACCTCTGTGGAATTAAACCTGCAGTTTGCAGGTGTCTGTGCTGACCTGGAGGTTTTTATTAGTGTCAGAAAACAGTCCCCTCACCCACAGGTCCTGGGTGGAGCTGGGAAGGGACACAGCTCACAGCATTTTGGGGGTTCAAGGAACAGATCAGAAAAAAAGTCTTAAAACCAGGTGAAAGACTAAAGCAGGTCCTGGAATTGCTTTAAAGAGTATCAAAAAGCAGGGAGAGAATTGAAGGTTTAAAGGCAGCTTAAAACCTTTAACCTGATTAAATATTCCAACTCCAGCTCTCACTTGGGAATTCAGATTGTCAAAGGAAGGAGAGAAACTGGAAAGCAGGAGAGGCACAAACAAGACTTTGTAACAAAGTGTAAAAATTTATCACTGCTCAAATTCCTTGTGCATTTAAGAGAATAAATCAAAACTGTCCCCTGGCAGTTTTAGACCCTTCAACTACACTGTTCTCCTTTAGATCCTACCTTTCCTTTGGACCAGCCCATCTTTTCCAGCATCTTCTGGCCAAATTTGGAATCATCGTTGCTCCAAGCGCTGTTCCGTGGATCCACAGACCACTTCTGCTTTCTCCGGGCTGCAGCAGGAAAGGAAAATTCAAACAGGCTTTACTGGCATTCCCAGAGAGTTCTTGGTATTAAATCAGTCCAAATAAAGCTCCTTATTGCAGAAAAAAATACCCCAGAACTTATGCCAGATTCGATATGTTTTGGGGGTTAATTTTACTAAACGAAAAAACACAACAACAACAATTAAAGCTCAGTGAAAATATTAATTATTAATGGAAAGATGCCAAAGTGGGATTGCTGTGGAAGTTGCTGTCCCACAGGATGGGCTGCAGTTCAGGGAGGCTTTAAGGATTACCATTTAGGTGTGAATTCCATATTGATTCCAATTTTGTTTTACATCTGGCTTCAACATGGAGTCTACAGAGGAGGAAATTATGAAGCTGCTTTCCCAGTTCTGGACAAAATCAATTCTCCAGGATTCCTTTTAACCAGAACACAGAAATTTTAATATCTGGCTTCCTAACAAAAGCCAAGCGAAAAATCCAAGGTAAGTGATCAGAGAAAGGGAATGACAGAACTGAAAACTGTGGGATTTCAGTTTTTGGATTTCTCAAAAATGACTTATGGGGAAACTGAAAAGCTGCCAGAAATTATTGCAGGAATTAAGAGATCCAAAGAAGAATCAAGGCTCCCTTGATCTATGTGGATTCCTAAAGAAATGACAGATTCCCAGACCCACATGTTGCCTTTCCCACCAGGAAGAGCTTCCTTGAAATCAAGGAAGAGCAGCCAGCCCAGTTAACCAGTCACTCCAAATGTGCACCTAAGCCCAGGCAGGAAGAGAACCTAAATAAACAAGACAAACAAAGAATGGGAGACAGGAAGATTACAAACTTCATTAAACACCATGGGAAATGCTGGATCAAAAATGACCGGTTAACCCAAGGCCACACAAGGCAGGGAGAAGCCAAATCCAACGAGGTGTTTTCAATGCAATCAGGAAGTCATCGTTCCCTAAAAGACAAGATTTGGGATTTGGGCCAGAGGGATTGAATATTACAGGGATGTTTGACTCATTTTTTTGCCCAGTTTTGTTTCATTTTTAAGGAACTAAGACTGTCAGAATTCAAGGTGGGGGATTTTTTTATCCCACTTCTGAAACTTTGAAGCTCCAAACGGTCCCTAAACAGTTTTTAACTGGGTTAAAGGCTCGAGGGCTGAGAGGGGAATCCAACTTTTGCCTGGTTCATTCTCTACAGGAAACAACTTATTAACCTCAGGGGCTATGGCTGCCCCTGGAACCCTGGAAGTGTCCAAGTCCAGGCTGGATGGGTTTGGAGCAGCCTGGGATAGTGGGAGGTGTCCCTGCCCATGGCAGGGGGTGGAATGGGATGAGCTTTAAAGTCCATTCCACCCCGAACCATCCTGGGATTCTGTGATTATTCCCACCAGGAAACCTTGAGAGCAGCAACTCCTCCAAGCCCTGCCTGTGGTGCTAAGAAAAGATGGGGAACCAGCAGTGTGGTCTGTGATTTTAAACTTCCAAATAAACTGGGATTCCCTGCTGCCCCATGGAGAACCACAGGGCTCAGCCTGGAGAAAAGGAGGCTCAGGGGGAACCTTGTGGCTCTGCACAACTCCCTGACAGAAGGGGACAGCCAGGGGGGTCGGGCTCTGCTCCCAGGGAACAGGGACAGGAGGAGAGGAAATGGCCCCAAGTTGTGCCAGGGGAGGTTTAGATTGAACATGAGGGAAAAATTCTTCATGAAAAAGGTGATTAGACATTGGAACAGCTGCTCAGGGCAGTGGTGGAGTCCCCATCCCTGGAGGGACTTCAGAGTCTTGTGGATGTGGCACTTGGGGATGTGGCTCAGTGGTGGCCTTGGCAGTGCTGGGGGATGTTTGGACTTGGTGGTCTTGGAGATCTTTTCCAACCTTAGTGATTCTGGCTCAAGGGTTCCAGCAGTTCTTACATTCCCCAGCTGAGCAGCTGCCCTTCTTTTCAATCACAGCTTCAGAAGTGAATTTCTATGGTTTTTCCTAAATATCTCTCCCTATGGAGAAGCCCCTGTGATGTTTTGCTCCCAGGAGGTTGTTGGTAACAAGGCACAAGGGCATCAAACACAAATATTTCTTGAAATTAAGGACATTACTTTCCCAGCCAGCACTTTCAATCTAAGTATTGCAACTTTCTTAGCTACACTGTGGGATTAATCCTCATGTTTCTGCCAGGTTAACATACTCTGATTTTTAAATAGGATGAAAACAACCCCAAACAAACTTGCTTTCATCTTTAGAGAAGTATTTAAGAAAGCCAGGAACAGCTCCATGCCTTTTACAGAAAACATAAAATCATCTCTCGTTTCCAAACAAACAACAAAATCCACTAATTAGTCAATAATTTATCAGAAATGTAAATTTGTTCACTGATCTCTTTAGAGTGGGAGAGGAAACCAGGCACAAGATTCAGCTCCTAATTTAACACCAATTTTCTGGGCTGCTTCAAAAATGATGCCACGGACAGTGATGGAACTCTGGGAGAGCAGCACCATCCAGTGGAGAAAATCCACATTTCTTTAGTGAATCACAGAATCACTGAGGTTGGAAAATACCTCCAAGATCACCGGGTCCAAGAATCCCCCAGCACTGTCAAGGCCACCACTGAGCCATGTCCCCAGGTGCCACATCCACATGGATTTTAAATCCCTCCAGAGATGGGGAATCCTCACTGCCCTGGGCAGCTGTGCCAGGGCTGGACAACTCAACTCCTTCAATCAGATATTCTATGATCTGGACAAGATCCATTACTAATCCCTTTTCCAAGATGAATTCTATGCCTGGAGCATGTTTTTAATCATAATTTCTGAAAGCTCCCATCCAAACCCCTGCTGGGTACCCAGAGATGATCTGGGGGAGCACAAAAAGGACAAGGCTTAGGAGGCAGGCTGGGAGAGCTGGGGGTGCTCATCTGGAGAAGAGAAGGATCCAGGGTGACCTGAGAGTGCCTAAAGGGGCTCCAGGAGAGCTGGAGAGGGACTTGGGACAAGGCATGGAGGGACAGGACACACGGAATGGCTTCCCACTGCCAGAGGGCAGGGATAGATGGGATATTGGGAAGGAATTCTTGGCTATGAGGGTGGGGAGGCCCTGGCACAGGGTGCCCAGAGAAGCTGTGGCTGTCCCTGGATCATTGGAAGTGTCCAAGGCCAGACTGGACAGGGCTTGGAGCAGCCTGGGATAGTGGGAGGTGTCCCTGCCCATGGCAGGGGGTGGAACTGGATGAGCTTTAAAGTCCCTTCCACTCCAAATAAGTCCATTACTGATATGTCCAATTAAAATAATTAACAAATTCTGAAAAAATTACAGCAAAGTTTGCACTGAAAATAATTAAAAACTTCCATGTGCAAATGCAGATTTGTTTCCCTAAAATCACATCTTTATTTCCCACTGTACACCAGATTTGTTATTTGTGTTGTCCATATTTCCTGCAACCCAGCAAAGAAATTCACCAGACCCTGAGCTCCTGGTCAAGGGTTGTCCTGTCAGAAATGGGAAGCCCAAATTCTCAGTCCCCTCAGAGGCAAAACTGAAGCTCTTTGTTTCCAATGTCAGGGAAATTTCAACAAAATTCACAGAATTATGGAATATCCTGAGCTGGAATAGACCCACAAGGATCATCTAGTCCAACCCCTGGCCCTGCACAGACACCCCAATAATCCCCCCTGGGCATCCCTGAGAGCATTGTCCAAACCCTCTGGAGCTCTGACAGCCTTGGGAATGTCACCATTCCCTGGGGAGCCTCAGCATCCTCTGGGGAAGAACCTTTTCCTGATCTCCAACCCAAACCTGACACAGCCCCAGCCATTCCTGGGTCCTGTCCCTGTCACAGGGAACAGAAATTGGAGCCGTCCCTCAGGAGAAGCTGCAGCCCTGGTGAGCTCTGACTGGGGGAAATGCAGGCTCAGAGATAGAGATGGATACAGAGTTTGATTTAAGGCCTTGGAGAAGGCTTAAAGCTTTAGAATAGAGTAGTGAAACAGATCCAAAATAAGATAAAGATTTGTAGTTTAAGCAGAAATATGTTTTAAGCAAGTAGATATGGGCTTCATATAAGTGAACAAATATGCTAAGCAGGATAGCAGAAAAAAAATCAAATTTAACAATAGAACTTGTTGAAGAGTTGATAAAAAGGAGTAAGTTTCTGTGGTTATATGATAGAAATGATAGATATTTATGATATCTATAATGATAGATACGATATTTATCTTTTTCTATGGATAGAAAAAGAGAAATTGAGGTAAATCATGTGAAATGTAGCAATTAGCAATTGGTTATGAAGATGCTAATGAACTTTGTGGAAGCAGCTGACTGGATAAGAAATCAGAAATTTGGATAATAAATGCCTTATAAAAGGCATTATAACTAGAATTATAATTGCAATTAGCAATTGGCTATTATAGTATTGGCTATTATAGTAGCAATTAGTTATGAAGATGCTAATGAATTTTGTGGAAGCAGCTGATTGGTTAAGAAATCAGAAATGTGGATAATAAATGCCTTATAAAAGGCATTATAACTAGAATTACAGTGGTTTCTGATGTGATGGCTTTGGATGTTAAGAACCTCACAGTCTCACCCTTCCATGACTGATTTTGCAATAAATCATCTTTTAAATTCTTCAGTTGAGCCCCTCTTTCTGCACCCCCAACATCTGACCTTGGTCCCCTCTTGACTCGGTCACTGCTCATTTGGTCCCTCCAGACCCTTCCCCACCTCCAAATCCTCCTCTGAAGGGTCCCTAAGAACTGGAGATTGGCACAGGGTGAGCTCAGCTCCAGCTCTGCCCCAGAAATGACCCAAGCACCAAACCCAGCACCCACACCCAGTCCTGCCACATCCCCTGGGTGTCCCCAGCACCCACACCTGGCCCTGCCACATCCCTTGGATGTCCCCAGCATCCACACCTGGCTCTGCTGTGTCCCCTGGGTGTCCCCAGCACCCACACCTGGCCCTGCCATGTTCCCTGGGTGTCCCCAGCACTCACACCGCTGTGCTGGAGGTGTCTCCCCTCAAACACATGGCCAGAAATGGCCCCAAGCACTGACAGGACGAGCTGTCCCTAAAGGTGTCCACGGGACATTCCCATTGCTCCTGCCCTGCCCTGGGACACACAGACCCCACAAAGAACCCCCCTGCACCCCCTTGTCCTGCACCAATGTCCCCCTGGAACCCTTTTCCACACTCCCAGCCTCCAGACCCCACTTTTTCCTTAACCCTGGGACTCTCTGGATGCTCCTTCCTGCCTTTCCCAGACCTCAAATCCTCCATTTCCCACCCCCAGGGACCCTTGGAGCCCCTCCTCTGCCTCAGCCTCCCTTTTCCTCGGCCCTGGGATCCCCCACACTCCCATCCTGCCTTTCTCAGACCCCAATCCGGACCCTTGGAGCCCCTCCTCTGCCTCAGCCCCTCTGCCTCCCTTTTCCTCGGCTCTAGGATCCCCTCACACTCCAATTCCTGCCTTTCTCAGACCCCAATCCCCTCGTTCTCCAACATCGGGGACCTCCTGAGCCCCTTCTTCCGCCGCGGCCTGGATCTGCCAGCCCCCAGACCCCCCCGTTTTCCCACACCGGGCTCCTCCGAACCCCGATTCCTGCCTTTCTCCCCCCCGCCTTTTCAACACCGGGAGCCCCTGAACCCTTTTCCCCGCCATCCCGGAGTCTCCCCCTACCATGACCCCTTCCCCTGACACAGGGAACCCAAATTCCTGGGCAGAGGGACCCCTCACCCCACCTCTCCCAGTCCCTGCACTCCCCTTGCCTTAACTCTGGAACCCCCCGAACCCCTTTATCGGGCCCTGGGACCCCCCCGCACCCATCGGGAGGGGCAGCGCGGCCCGGAGCCCTCAGGCAGGGCTGTGGGGAGGGGCTGAGGCCGCTCGCAGGACCCCGGCTCGTCCCCATTCCCGCGACGTTCCCACCCGGATGGGCACTCACGTTCCGCCAGCATCGCCATCTTGGGGGCCTTCCTCCATGCAGGGGGACTTTCGTGACTGCCGGCGCACACAAAGGGCGGCGTGAATAGCGCCTGATTAAAAAAAGTTTTAAAACAGGCGAGCGCGGCGGCCACCAAAGTGAAAATTAAAAAAAAAAAAAAAAGAAAAGAAAATAAAGTTTGCAAATTTGCTACAATTCTAATTGTGAAAAATGCGTATTTTATAATTGGCTTTTCGCAAATATTAAAATTAATATTATATGTGTTGTGTTAGAAAGTTACGCTGTAATAATTTTTTTAAGTAGTGTGTTAAATATAGTTTTAGGTTATAACATAAGGTTAAAATAGAAACTATGCTATGTAGGAGGATACTTTTTTTAAAGAAAGGACTCGCAGCAAGATAGCAGCCGCAGGACACCTAAATCTTTCAGAGGAAAAGAATTTATTGCTTCATTACCAGAAGAAATGAAATTCTTCCCGCCTCGCTCAGCCATAAAGATGCTGTCAGGATTAAGAGGAAGAAGCTGAGGATGACCAGACAGAATCCTGTATTTGAATGGAATTTATGCATCATGTATGAAGTGCATGAATATGCAATAGGCTGTTGTTTTTAAGGGTCAATCCTTTGTTAATGTGTGTCCTTTTTCAGGCTCGTGCTGCCCAGAAAATGGTACCCAGACCTTCATAACTCTTTGTCTCTATTGTCTCATATTGTCCTAATTCAAATTGTCCAAATAATTATTACTCTAATTATATTGCTATTTTTATAACCATTTTATTACTATTAAACTTTTAAAATTTTAAAAAGAAGTGATTGGCATTTTTCACATAATAAATGTCTCAAAACACATCTCGGCTGTTTCCGAGCCGGGGGAAGAGGATGAGCAGCACTTGCTGTGTGTGGTTGGAAATAAGGTGCAGGATGACTATTCCAGGGAATTTCAGATGTGGATGTCCCTGGAGTTCCCCAAATTTCTCTGTCGTGGGAGGGAACTGTGGATGAATATAGAGAGGCATCTAGGCATCTTGAGAAACATCCCCTCCTTCCTGCCTTTCTGTGAAATGGGGGGGGGGGGGGAGAATTTTTTTTTTTGCCACAAATTGTGTTTGAGGAGTGAAGCAGCCCCTCTGATGAATTCTGAATCAAAGCACTTCTATACAGGAATCTTTTTTTTTTTTTTTTTTTTGTTACATTCTTGAGCCCTTGGTCTTTCATATTTTCTGGCTTTTTAGTGTGAAAAATGCGTATTTTATGATTGGCTTTTCACAGATATTCAAATGAATATTATATGTGTTCTGTTAGTTATGCTGTATGAATTTTTTTAAGTAGTGTGTTAAATATAGTTTTAGGTTATAACATAAGGTTAAAATAGAAACTATGCTATGTCATACATTTTTTTTTAAGAAAGGAATGAGGTATTCGCACCAGATAGCAGCCACAGGACACCTAAATCTTTCAGAGAAAGAGAATTTGTTGCTCTCTTATCAGAAGAAATTGACTTCTTCCTGCCTCACTCAGTCCTGAAGACGCCGTCAGGACTCAGAGGAAGAAGCAGACACTGACCAGACAGAATCCTGTGTTTGAATGGAATTTATGCATCATGTATGAGGTGTATGAATATGCAACAGGCTGTTGTTTTTAAGGGTCAATCCTTTGTTAACATGTATCCTTTTTCGGGCTCGTGCTGCCCAGAAAAAGGTACCCAGACATTGGTAACTCTTTGTATTTATTGTCTCATATTGTCCTAAGCCAAATTGTCCAGAATTTTTATTACTCTAATTGTATTACTATTTTTATAACCATTTTATTACTATTAAACTCTTAAAATTTTGAAAACAAGTGATTGGCATTTTTCACAAGGGAGAAGCTCCAGGCCCTCCACCATCCTTGTTGCTGGGCCTGCTCCAGGAGCTCCATGTCCCTCTTGCCCTGAGGAGCCCAGAGCTGGACACAGCACCCCAGATGTGCCTGACAGGGCTGAGCAGAGGGGCAGGATCACTCCCTGACCTGCTGGAAATGCTCTTCTTGGTGCAATCCTGGATCACTTTGGCCTTCTTTGCCCTCTGGGCACTGCTGGTCAAGGACACCTCTCACTATCCCAGGTTGCTCCAACCTGGCCTTGGACACTGCCAGGGATCCAGGGGCAGCCACAGCTTCTCTGGGCACCCTGTGCCAGGGCCTCCCTACCCTCACAGGGAACAATTCCTTCCCAATATCCCATCTATCCCTGTCTTGTGGCAGTGGGAAGCCATTCCCTGTGTCCTGTCCCTCCATGCTTTGTCCCAAGTCCCTCTCCAGCTCTCCTCCAGGTACTGGAGGGCCACAATTAGGTCACCCCAAAGCTTCTCTTCTCCAGGCTGAACAAGCCAAATTCCCTCAGCCTTTCCTCACAGAGAGGATGAGGAGAGATTTCCCACTGCTCTTTCTCCATCCACCCTCCCATATGGATGGCAGCTGGGTTGCAGCTCCCCAGCTCTGCTTTTCCCACTGCTTTGCCTCTGTGCCTTTGGATTTATGTTACAGTTCCCTGTTTGCTTTGGGAACACTGTGCAAGACAATTTTTATAAGGTTTTTTGTCTTTTCTTCATCAACAAACCAAACAAACATTTTATATGTGTCTCTACCTCTCTAAGACCCCTTCTGTCTGTCAGCAAACTTACATTGGTACGCTGGAGCTTGATCCTGGCAAATCTCTAAATTTATAATTAGCTTGGTGATTTATTTTTAATAGCTCATATTCAGGTCCTATTAAACTGGCGGCTCTGGCTGCCCCACTTCCTCCTTTAAACAAGGGTATTGAACTGGTCCTTCTATACTTTTCTCAAGCCATATCCCACAGCCAGGAATCCTCACAGGGTTTGTTCTCTTCAGACTTTATTGCCATTTATTGCCAGTTCTCTGCACTTTCAGGTCACATTCATCAGGCTTGACTGATGTGAAAACAAGTAAATACTGCCCAGACCTTCACTTTGTGGCAGAGAGATATTTTCCTGTTCAAAAGTTTCACTTAACACTTTTCTCCAGGAGGAAATCCTTGGAGATCAGAATAAACCATAAAGAGCCTTCTTTCTGTGATCACACAGGATCACAGAATTATGGAATTATTGAAGTTGGAAAAGGCCTCCAAGATCACTGAGTCCAACCTCTGACTGATCCCCACCTTGTCCCCAGCCCAGAGCACTGAATGCCACATCCAGACCTTCCTTGGACACCTCCAGGGATGGGGACTCCAAATCTCCCTGGGCAGCCCCTTCCAATGCCTGACCACCTTTTCCATGAAGAAATTCCTCCTGATGTGCAACCTGAACTGAAATAGGAGTCTCTTTGAGTTAGGTTTTATAAGCTTTTGGAGATTTATTTCACATTTAAGATAGCTTAGCTACTTTAGAAGGCATAAAATTAGTAGGATGGCTTTTGTGGTAGTGTTGGAAACAAAAGGGTTTTAATAAAAGGCAAAATAACAAACTCTTTACAGAGAAAAACCGATTTAGGTGCAAGAGGCCCTCTTGCCCCTAGTAAAACACCTCACAAAAGTGATTAGTTTCTTTGTTCTCTTCTTTTTCTAGTAAATTGCCTAGGTGAGACTTTTTGGCTTCTGTCCAATTAGCTATCCTTAAGTTTGAGGTGAAGTCTCCCAAGTCCTGTGAGGCGTCCTTTCTCATTGAGGAGAGAAACTTTTAAGCTTATTTCCTTTTTAAAGTGACAAAGAATAGTTTTGTCACTCCATCAACAAGGGGCACATCCCTGTACTGAACCTTCCCTGGCACAGTTTGAGGCCGTTCCCTCTGCTCCTGTCCCTGTTCCCTGGGAGCAGAGCCCGACCCCCCTGGCTGTCCCCTCCTGTCAGGGAGTTGTGCAGAGCCACAAGGTCCCCCCTGAGCCTCCTTTTCTCCAGGCTGAGCCCCTTTCCCAGCTCCCTCAGCCCCTCCTGGTGCTCCAGCCCCTACCCCAGCTCTGTGTCACCTCATCTGCTTTGCAGTGCTCACAGGTCACTCACCAGCATCCTCACAGAATCACTCAGGTTGGAAAAAACTTCCAAATCCAACCATTCCCTCAGCACTGCCGAGGCCACCGCTGCCCCATGTCCCCAGGTGCCACATCCACATGGATTTTGAATCTCTCCAGGGATGGGGACTCCAGCAGTGCCCTGGGCAGCCTGTTCCAATGTTTGATCACCCTTTCAGTGAAGAAATTTTCCCTCATATCCAATCTAAGCCTCCTCTGGCACAACTTGAGGCCATTTCCTTGTCCTTTGAGGGAATTGTAGGAAGTCTCCTCCTCCCCTTCCACCACCCCCCAGGCATTCTCTGTAGTGGCCACTCTTTGCTGTCATCTGGATCTGAAATAAAAGAATTTATCCCTCCCTTATCCTTCCACCTGTCTTCCCTGATGCAAGTGCCCTTCCTGGCAGCAGCAGCCATTTCCATGAATTATAGCTCTCTTATAGATCTCTAAGATCTCTTTTACATCAATGAAATTGTACTGTGTGTCGAGTGTTTGGATGGTCACTTGTGTGATCCATTTCACACCAGCCGAATTCTGCTCTGCTTTTAGTTCTGGAGAGGTTTAAGTCTCCTGGCTGAGAGCTGAGTGCTGCATTTGATCGCTCCAATAGGGAGCAGCATTCCCCACGTTTGGAACAGCTTTGCTGTGGTATAAAGACATCACTGGAGGTGGAAAATGTGAAGTAATTTCTGTTAAAGGATGCCTTGAGGTTGAGATTTTTTTCTCTTGTTTGGTTTTGGAACTTAATGTTCGGCTGCATCAGAGCACTTCTGCCTCCAGAGCTCTCACTCCTGGCTGGCAAAGAATCTCAACTGCAAACACGAAGGAGGTCGTACTTGATTTAATTATTATTTAATATTTGCTTAATGGGAAGCTTGAGGTCAAGGTCCAAATTACCCGACACAGCTCTTGCAAATTAGGAGTTTATAAAACAATTAAGTCCACGAATATGCATAGGGGCAGTGAAATTAGGCAGAGAAAAGGTTCCATCCGGGGGCAATGTGTGTTTCCCAAT